CTGTTCAGGGGGACTTGCCCTACACCCTCCATACCCCGTTCTCTGTGTGGCCTCTGCAATCCGACTAGGTTCTCTGAGTTGGTTCTCAACACAGCGTTGAGTACATTTGTTCTCCTGATGCTATTTTTAAGTTTGAGATCCATGTTCATAGACTCTGATCGGGAAAAATTAAAAATTAATGATTACATGGCATCAAAAAAATCATTGCACCATGCTTCTCTCAATGGCCGATGGGGTGTGTGTGTGTGTTTTTGTGTGTAGAGACAAGCATGAAATTCCAATGTACACAAGTGTCTAAAATCAAAGGATCTATACAGAAGTTTGAGAGATCTAGTTAAATGATGTCCGTTCCAATGTTCTGGGAATTCAAATAATCTGTTCGTCTTCGGTTTTGTCCTGTTGGCCTGTAATTGGCCCAGGGTCAGCAGGGAAGCTGCGGAGGCAAAAGCATAAACATCACTTTCCGGAAAGACACCTGCTGTGTGGATTCCTTCTTCCAGACTACTCGAAAGTGTACCATGCTTTCTCTCCCTTTATTAAAAAGGACGGGGGAAAGGAGCTAAGTTTTCTGAATCGGTACCAGTAGAAGATGCTACCTGACTCAAGCAAGTGTGGCTGCAATTCTTGAAGTTCTTCCAAGAGATCTTGTGCCTTACTCTGTTCCCTCCCCTTCCTGCTGTTTTGCAGCTAAACCCACTAGGGAATTGTATGGCAGGAAGGCATGATTTTATTTAGTTAGCCCTTGATTCCTGGTTTGTGCAGCACCTGGGTGCAGCCTGCAGCCCTGGGGGTCAGGTAAGTAGGAAACAATTTCTTTAAATTCGGTTTAAGGCATCAGAGTCCGAAGACGGGGCTCTTACATTTTTGGTGTGTGATGATCCTGCTTAATTGTTTGCAAAAATAGGCAGATCCTACAGAGTTTTGGGTTCAAAATTCATTCTTGAGGAAGAGAGTGGACAGGAGATAAAAGATTTTGAAGTTCTTCTGCCGGAACACTGCACACTGGCTGGGAGGAGGGAAGGCGCTGTAGAAAACCTTGTAAGAATAGCAGACTTTTCGAGAGAGCTTTCTAGAGAAGCTGGTAGATTATTTGGCACAAATTTCGGTGTGTACGTTTTTATATATTTATGTAAATACTAATTTACAAGGCATAGCTTAAAAACAAGCCCCTCCACGTATGCTGAAGAAGAAATACATGAAGTGTACAATGTGTAGGGCATGTGGAAGAAAATGTATTCGACGAGGAAACATCTTGTGATGTTTAGATCCTTAAACTGTTGAATGTGGGTGGGACGTTAGGCCTTATTTCAGCCCTTGGATTCGATGCACAGATGCGGAGGCTCAGAGGCTGGGACACCCACTACAGATTGCTCAGCCGGCCTCTGGCAGGTCTTTCAGTAAACTAAGTAACACTTTATCAAGAAATTCAGGAGTGAGGGAGAACTAGGTCAAGCATAGGAGAAACCACCCGGAAATCAGGAACTAAGTAAGGAATTATTGAGGGGGTGGGGGTTCTAACTCCAAAGCCCTTCGCACTCTGTGTTCCTCTGCCCTGAACCGTGTCAGCGGGTCAGGGTTATGAGATCACAGCAGAATGCCAGGGTCCTTGGCCCCATGAACTTGACGTTCAACAGAAGGATTGCCTCTATTCTCTATGATTCGCGGGCTTATATGGATCTGTCTGAGGCAGTGACTGTTTTCAGTTTTTTAATCTGTTGCCTGAAGGGCTGCATACCGAGGGAATGCTCGGCTACTCTGACGATTGGGTGACTGCACATGGCCACAAACCTCCCTCACTTTGGGTGAGTGCTCACACTTTGACAGCAGGAGCCTTGCCTTAGTCAAGACATGGGCTTAGCATCTGAGACAACAAATGTAACTTTTTATTTTTATAAGTAACATATTAATATAATGTTTACTATATGCATTCTTTGTGCGAGCCCTCAGGTCCCTCATCTCAGTTTTCTTATGAGACACAGTGCCATCACTTATTTCACTATTTATTTGGGAGCAAAGCATATTCAGTTATTTAAAATCATTTGTTGAAGGTTGCCTATGTGCTCGGCACGCGGAAGAAGCAAGTACACAAAACTAGAGAAAGAAATTACGGAAGGATGAATGCTTGTTTTTTTTTTTTAAGATTTTATTTATTTATATTTGACAGAGACAACACAAGCAGGGGGGTGGGAAAGGGAGAAGCAGGCTTCCCGCTGAGCAGGGAGCCCTATGCGGGGCTCGATCCTAGGACCCTGGGATCATGACCTGAGCCGAAGGCAGACGCTTAACAACTGAGCCACCTATGTGCCCCTGAATGCTTGCTTTTATCTTAATTCTTCTCTAGCTGGAGGACAGAATGGAGTTTATCTTAATTTGACACCTTTATGATCTTGTGATCTTTGTATTATTGGAATAATTGTAACACATGTTTTTTAAAAATTAAAAAGGAAAAATTAGACCCCTTAACAGAGGTTGGTCTGGGCCATTTAGATTCAACTACTACCAGTCACTTCTGAGTTAAACAGAAGAGGATGGTGTAGATTATTTATGGAATTTGGCTCTATGAAAACAACTCAATTTCCTGAAATGGCTTAAGTTTGTGACTTCAAAGGGAAACAGCTGTATTTCCTTTTCCAAAATTACTTTATTTGCATCAAAGTGGACCCTGTGATATTCAGAGGCTTCCATAAGATGGCGATGTAATCCTTTGGATGACAAGTCTAGCTGGTTTTAAAAATATAGATCTAGAAATATTTTAATAGACACGGCAAAAAAACATTTTTTAAAAAGGAAAAACTCCCATAACCCCACAATTCTAAAGCAACCATGTTCACTTGCTTCTAGTTTTTGTCACTACTAATACATAATTACATAGGTACCCTCATCATGTGCATGGCATTTTTTTTTTTAAAGATTTTATTTATTTGTCAGAGAGAAGAGCACAAGCAGGGGAGAAGCAGGCTCCTCACTAAGCAAGGAGTCCGATGTGGGACTGGATCCCATGACTTGAGCTGAAGGCAGACGCTTAACCAACTGAGCCACCCAGGCACCCCGTGCATGCATTTTAGTCTACTTTTTGAAAATTCAACACAACGTGGATCTTTTACATATTTCTACATGAACTACATAATTATTACAGTGGTTGCATGATATTCTACTTCTGAACCACTTACTTTTACATGTTATGTGGTATGTACTTTTTCACTATTACAAATAACACCATGGTTAATATTGTTGGCACGCAGATTTTGGATTATTAAGAATTTTCAGGATGATATCACTGGGTTTAAGATGTCTTTTCTCTTTAGCTTTCTGAAGTGCTGGGCAGACATCTGTTGCCTTCAGCACTGTACGAGAACCTGAGTTCTGACCTGTTGCACTAGCCTCGTGTTATTATTTTTTACATCCTAAGATACCTGCCACCACACATTCATTTCATTCGACACATATTTATTTAACACATGGTTCCAGGCTTAATACTGAGAACTGGAATACAATAAGAAGGAAAACACAGTCAGATGGAGAGCCAGATTTTTAGCCCTACAATGACATGAACAGATGCAACCCCCTACTACGGTGCCATGAAAGAGAGGGATGCGGTGCCCCTCCCTGGGGAGATTTGATGTCATCGGGAGGGTCCCTGAATCCTGTGTGCACACTAGCCTAGGCTCTTGCCTGAGTGTTCCCTTTGTCTAGAACACTTGGTCTAATTAGCTGCTTTGTTCCTTCAGATCTCATTGCAAACTTCACCATGCAGCACTGCCTTCACTCCTGACAGGGTTCAAAAGCAAATCAGGAACTTGCGAGAGGACGTGCAAGTGTGCTTCACAAACGGGGTGCCCTGCGGTGCGTGTGCGCGTGCCCTTCACCGCGGTCTCCCAGAGAAACAAAACCTTAACTCAGAGAACACATCTGATCATAGGACTGCTTGGAACGTTTTACTTTTTCATTCCATTTTTTTTTATTGTGGTAAAATAGACGTGACATAAAATTTACCACTTTAGCCATTTTTAAGTGTCCAGTTCAGTGGCATTAAGGACGTTCGCATTGTTCAACTGTCCGCACCATCCACTTCCAGAACTTTTTCATCTTCCCAAACCGAAACCATCCCCTTTGAACAGGAGCTCCCAGTCCCCCTCCCCTGGCTGCTGCCTCCACCATTCTACTTTGTTTCTATGAATGTGACCACTCTGGGGGCCTCATACGAGTGGAATCCTACTGTACTGGTCCTATTGTGTCTGGCTGATTACACTTAGCATAAAGTCCTTCAGGTTCATCCCTGTTGAGGATGCGTCAGAATTTCCTTCCTTATTAAGGCTGAGTAATAGTCCACTGTGTATATCACATTCTGTACAACCAGTCATGTGTCCATGGACACGTGGGTTGTTTGCAACTTTGGGCTACTGTGAATAAGGCTGCTATGAACACGGGTGTACAAGTAGCTGCCAGAGTTTGCTTTCCTAGTGAAAATGTTCTCTCATGCACATAGTGATCAAATTTGGTTTTTACAGCAGCCCTGGGAGACAAGTATTAATCTCTTCTCTGGCTCTGAAAAGCGATTTACCCAAAGTAGAGTGATAAATGGAAGTATCTGACCTGGACCTTGGCTTTCTCCTTGACCACTCACCATTAAAAGCAGTCCCGGTCACATGTGTCCCTTCCAAGAACAATGGCCTTCTGCTTTTTCTTTTTTTTTTTTTAAGATTTTATTTATTTATTAGAGAGAGAGCACAAACGGGGGAGAGGCAGAGGGAGAAGCAGGCTTCCCGCTGAGCAGGGAGCCCGATGCGGGGCTTGATCCCAGGACCCCAGGGTCATGACCCGAACTGAAGGCAGACACTTAACCGACTGAGCCACCCAGGCGTCCTTGAACAATGCCCCTCTGATTGCAAGCAGCTTGTCTGCTACCAGGTCCTGCCCTCATCTGCCCTGGCCATTCTGCCCAAGGCTGAGCCAGGCTGGGTCCGGGTCCCACGGCAAGGAACAGAGGGTGTGTCTGTGGTCCCACCAACAAAGGCTTCTCCTTTTGGTCTTTGTCTCCCTCTTGCAGTTCAGCTCCGTCATCTGAACCATGAGGATCTGGTTGCTCCTGCTTGTCACTGGAATCTGCACGGGAAATGTGAACTCGCAGGACACGTGCAGGCAAGGGCACCCTGGCATCCCTGGGAATCCTGGTCACAATGGTTTGCCTGGGAGAGATGGACGAGATGGCGCAAAGGGCGACAAGGGTGAGGCAGGTACTCAGCACCTGGTGGCCTTCAGCTGCCCTTGCGTTTACCCCTCTGTTCCTCTGAGATCATTCGTTCATTCATCATGAGCATAGCCATCACCTGCCCACTCCCCCCTCCTTCATTTGTGCAGCCCTTGCCCAGAAAGCAGTGGCCGAGAGCCTGCTCCAGGTCAGATTCTGGGTGACGGTGCAGGACCAGACCAACAGGGCACCCCCTCCACAGGCACTCTCATCTAGAGGGGACAACTGTTAGCCATCACCTCTGATACTACAGGCCATCTTCAGGAGTATATGATGTTATAGATCTTTCTGCCTCAGATGGCAGGTATGGTGGGTCTTTGGCACACGGGGCCTATAGAGAAATCTGACTGTAAATATTTAGCAGAGAGCACCCGGCTGCAGTGCAGGGGAGAGTTAATGCCTTGCCACGCAGTGAGGTGAGGCAGGTGACACGGAGTGACAGAGAAAACAAAAGTAGATGGTAACTGAAGCCACACAGTGGTACTCAGGTGTGTATGCCCTGTGTTGGGGCCTGCCCCAGGGTTTGCGAGTTTGGGGACAGGATCCAGCCTCTAGGAAGGGGATTTGCAAAAGCCAGGATATGTGAGTGGTTTCCATAACACGAACTGATGGGCTTGGTTCTTGAATGGGGTTCTTGAGCCTGGGTCTGACCATAGGGTCACATATCTGAGACATAAGCAGACTGATCTATCTCAGTGCAGAGAGAAAACATCAAAACTACTACTGACATTTTATTTTTTTAAAAAGATTTATTTACTTGAGAGAGAGAGAGAAAATGAGTCGGTGGGGGAGGGACAGATGGAGAGGGAGAGAGAATCTCAAGCAGACTCCCTGCTGAGCACAGAGCCCAACATGGGGCTCAATCCCAGGACCCTGAGATCAGGACCTGAGCCAAAATCAAGAGTCGGACACTTAACCAACTGAGGTACCCAGGCACCCCTACTATTGACATTTTAAAAGATAAATTTAGATGAAGAAAAAAACTGAGCTTTAAAAATATTTAATATGTGAATTGGCTTGGGTGGCTTCACTTGGTCCCTTTGCAGATAGACCTGTGTCATTTGAGGCCTGAAATATGTCCTGTGCCCTCACACACTCACTGTCCATCAGTGTACTGTGGCGCATTGTGGTTACAGCCCAGGCCAAGGGATTTTCAAATTGTCCTATCGAACTATCACAAACAGATGGGTGCCTGAAATACTTCTGCAGAGAAATTGAAGATTGAAGGTTGACTTGATAATGCAAACATTAAAGAATCCCATGAAAATAGGAGAGCTGTCATCTGTCTTCTTAGTGTGAACTCTTCAACAGTACATGAGTAGGAGAAATCAATGATGAACTAATCAGATCTGACAAGAAGTCTGACAAAAACCTAGAAATTTTAGGAGTTTGGACATATGAATTTACATTTACATTCATTAAGATGCCTCATCCTCACTGTAAACTGTCAGTTATTAATAGAAGCATCCCCAATTAATTAGACATTTCAGGATTCTTTGTGGAACGTGACCACAAACCACTGTCATTTTTCCTCAGCTATATGTTATAGTATGAAAACGTCGCTATACTTAATGATGAACATTTAGAAGCCTTCTTGATATTTTATAATCATATCAGAAGATTAGCCATTCCTCTGGCTATATTAACAGTGTTTGAAATAATACACAGCAACTTCAGGATGGACTAAAATTAGTGCTTTGCCAGCAAATGCTGTTGGCATATGGATTTTTAAAAAGTCTGTTAATCTGGAGAAATGAGTATTAGAACAAATTACTTATGGGAAGTCCGCTGTACAGATGAAGGAAAGTCTAGGTGTTTCTAGGTGTTTCCCTGTTTGTGGCATTTGGTGCTCCAAGGGGTTTGTTGGGTGGGCTGGATGAAGCAGACGGTCACCAACCATCTTTCCAACCATTGCCCTGCAAATCTGCGCTGGGGGTCTCCAAGGGATAACATCTCCAGTGAGTCCATGCCACTTTTTGGCATTAGACCAGTCTTATTTCTGGGTAGTAAAAAGCCCAGTCCAAGTTAATGGTAAAACCTCAATGTCAGTGAAATCCATTCTTTTAACCTCCTACTGGGACCTCAGTGTGCATGTATGTGTGGATGTGGGTGCACACGTGTGTGCATATGTGTGTACATGCACAGGATACAACTCTGACTTCATGACCCCTTCATCTTTTGTTTCCACTCTCCTTCCTTACAGCAAGGACTGCCTTTGACTCTAGAGATGTTGACTTGTAACATGGGAAGTCGGAGCTCAGGGTTGCCTGCTCTAAGCTCAAAATTGATGTGTGGTAGGCAAAACCTCACTCGCCTGATGTTTCCAATGGCGTCTGCCATGCCAACTTGATCAGTGACATTTACCACCACTCTAAAGTGCTGGAGAGATCCTTCCAGAATCCTCCCTTCCATCCCAAATATTGCCAGGTAACCATAATCATCTGTGTTTTCATAGGAGGCTAGTGAACCTTCCATTCCACTCTGTGCAAGAGTGACAGAAAAGGAGACGCGAGAAGGCCACCCAGTGCCTCCAACGATCAGTCACTACCCGAGTTCCCCTCACAAGAGAAAGACGTAATTGTGATCATCTGTGCACATATTCCTTTCCTGTTCTGCCTTCCCGGAGCTGGGTGCTTGGGAGGTCCACCCAGTTCATTTCATAATTCACTTCTTGTACAACTCCGCACCCCTGGCGCTCACTCACGTCTGCCTTCTGTGAGGGGCAGTGTGCGTGTCAGGGCTGGGCACACACTCAGGACTCTCTGGTCTACACCCCCGATAGACACCAATGTCTAGGAAATGCGGAATTGGAACTTGAACTCTTGTCTGTTTTCTTCTCTTCCACCTAGGAGAACCAGGACATCCTGGTGGTCCAGGGAAGGATGGAATGAATGGAGAGAAAGGAGAGCGAGGTCAGAAATTGTGTTCCATTTTACCATGCTCTAATTCTGAGCCATCGGTGACTTAATCACCATTTGGTGCTCACCAAGGACAAGTCCTTTGCTAGGCTCTGAGGACGACCTAACAATAGGGCAACATGGCTCTTGCTCTCCAGGAGCTTGTGATTCTTTTTCTGTAAAGGGAAAGACTGTAAGTAATTTCAGCTTCTCAGGCCATGTGGTCTCAGGCACAACTGTCGTGAAAAGCAGCCACGGATGCTACATAAGTAAGTGGGGCTGTGTTCTAGTGAAACTCTATGAAAACCGAAATCTGAATCTTATATAATTTTCATGTATTGTCGAAATATTATTTGTGACCATTTAAAACTGCAAACCATTCTTAGCTTGTGGGCCATACAAACAGGTGGGAGGCTGGATTTGGCTCACAGGCCGTGGTTCGCTGAAGCCTGGGTTAGTGGATGAAGATTGAGGAGTGACATTAAATTGACTCAGGGCTTCTGGCAAGACTGCATGGAGAAGGTGGCACTGGAATTGGGCCCTGAGGGGTAAGGAGGGCTCCGGTAGTTGTGAATTATGGGGAGAGAGAATAGTCACAAGAGCAAACACAAATAATGCTCACTTTGTGCTAGGGTGTTCTAAGTGCTTTTCATGTACTGACTCAATACAACAGCCTATTTTTACAGATGAGGGAACAGAGGTGTAGGTGGCTAATCAGCTTGCCTAACGTCACATTGTGCCTCCGTAGAGAAGACAGGACTGAATCCTGGTATTTAACTCCAGACTCCGTGCTCATAACCACTGCTCTCCAGTCGGGGAGGGGGAGACAGGGAAGCATCAAGAACGTATGCACAGTGAGGACCAGCGTGACAGTGGTCAGCAGAGAGCAGTGACCGCCACACTTTAGGAAGACTTTATTCTGTGCTCACTCCCATGAGGAGCTTTGTAGGGGATGTCCCAGAACTAGGGCTGAGTTGTCAGTTAACTGAAAGCAGCCTGAGTTCATCTGCCTTTGGACGTTCTTCCCTCTTCCAAAGATGTGTTCTCAAGGATCGGCGTTGCTTAGTGGTCAAAGACTGGGCTGTGATTTAAAGAGCTGTAATATCTAATGTGAACCCCAACACTAACATAGTAGACAGGAGTCAGAAGGTGTTTTGCATCCACACACATGTGTATGTGTATGCTGCGCACTCAATTTAGGAGTAAATTAATGTTCAGACCCCGAGCATCTACTGATACTGGGCACTGCTTTACTTCATTTGTATGCTCAACAATGGAAAAGCCGAAGTTGGTTTTAGAAGTTGATGTTTCACAAATCATCTTTTCCTTTATTCTCTCTTTTTCCACCTAGGAGCAGATGGAAGAGTTGAAGCCAAAGGTGTCAAAGGCGATCAAGGCTCACAAGGACCGCCAGGGAAACATGGGCCAAAGGGATTTGTTGGTCCCATGGGAGAGAAAGGCCTCAGGGGAGAGACTGGCCCTCAAGGGCAAAAGGGCGATAAAGGCAGTGTGGGGCCCACCGGTCCAGAAGGGCTAAAGGGCAGCACTGGGCCTTCGGGCCCAATGGGTCTACCTGGCCCCGTGGGCCCCATTGGGAAGCCTGGCCCCAAGGGAGATGCTGGGCCTTTGGGACCCCAGGGAGATCCAGGAGTCCGGGGAATGAGAGGCTGGAAAGGGGACCGAGGCGAGAAAGGGAAAATTGGCGAGACTCCAGTCTTGCCCAAGAGTGCTTTCACAGTGGGGCTCACAGTACTGAGCAAGTTTCCTACTTCAGATGTGCCCATTAAATTTGATAAGATCCTGTATAATGAGTTCAATCATTTCGACGTAGCCACAGGGAAGTTCACTTGCCACATTACCGGGGTCTATTACTTCACCTACCACATCACGGTTTTCTCCAGGAATGTTCAGGTATCTTTGGTCAAAAATGGGGTGAAAATACTGAACACCAAGGACGGTTACATGAGCTCTGAGGACCAGGCGTCAGGCGGCATGGTGCTGCCGCTGAAGCTGGGGGATGAGGTGTGGATGCAGGCCACAGGAGGGGAGAGATTTAATGGCTTGTTTGCAGATGAGGACGATGACACGACTTTCACAGGCTTCCTTCTGTTCAGCAGCCAGTGATGGGGAGGTGTGTAGGGACCTGCTTCCCCACCCCTCGGAGCTGGCTTGCTCTGTTCTCAGATGATTCTGCTCTATGAATCACTCTCATTATTGTAATAATCATAGAGGGGCAACAATAGGACAGTTATTCCCAAAGCTGATTTTATGTGACTTATATTGCTGTTTCCAACAGTAAAAATGCTTGCACTGGGGCTCCTGGCTGGCTCAGTTGGTGGAGCATGTGACTCTTGATCTCAGGGTTGTGAGTTCGAGCCCCATGTTGGGTGTAGAGATTACTTAAAAATAAAATCTGGGGGCGCCTGGCTGGCTCAATTGGTAGAACATGCAACTCTTGATTTTGGGGTCATGAGTTGGAGCCCCACATTGGGTGCAGAGATTACTTTTAAAAAATAAAATAAAACCATATAAATAAATAAAATCTTAATGCTTGCATTGTTTATTATAATTTATTTACGATTTTTCATCATTCACCTTATCTGAAGAGTGCTTTGCATGTATGTTTCTTGTGGGACCCGTGTTCTGATGTCATTTTAGTGCTTGATGGAGCCATATCAGGCCTTTTCCCTCATCCGAATTTCTGAGGACACTGGGAGAAGGAAGAGGGAAGTGTTCCAATGTTCATTCCATTTAGTAGCCAATAAAAGTTGTAAGCAGGTGATGACAAGACATCCCAGAAAGCTGCGGAACACTTTGCTTATTTTGTAACTTAGGTTTTAATCACCATTCAGCTCAACAAATAGTTCTTGAATCTGTGCTCGGTTCCTGGGACTACCGTAACAAAGTACCACAAACTGGGGAATTTAAAACAACAGAAAGTGATTGTCTCACAGGGCTGGAGGCTAGAAGTCTAAAATCAAGGTGTCAGCAGCACCAGTCTCCCTCAGAAGCCTCTGAGGAGGGTTCTACCTTGCTGCTTCCAGCTTTTGGTGGACCCAGGCATTCCCCGGCTTGTGGAAGCATCCAGCTCTACCCCGATCTGCACATGGCCGTCTTCCCTCCATGTCTGCCTGTGTGCAAGCATCCCTCTTCTGATAAGGACACCAGTCATTTGGAATAGGGACCACCCTAATCTACTATGACCCCATTTTAACCTGATTACATCTGCAAAGACCCTGAGTCCAAATAAAGTCACAATCATAGAAACCAAAGGTTAGGACTTGAACGTATCTGTTTGGGAGACACAGTTCAACCTGTAATAGACTGCTCTGGTCCCCCCAAATTCACGATCTTCCCCAGTGCCGAATACACTCTCCCCAACCCACATCCCCCAAAGTCTTAACAATGTCAACATCAGTGCTAACTCTAAGAATCTCATCTAAAAATCACCAGCTCAAAGTCCCCAATCTCATCATCTAAATCCTTTATGTCAGTTATAAGTAAGATCTATTGTGTGACACATCCTGGGGCAAAATCCCTCTCCCTCTGTGAAACTGCAAAACCAGACACATTATTTGCTTCCAAAATACAATGGTGGGAAAGGCACAGAATAGACAGTCCCATTCCAAAAGGGAGATAAAGGAAGGGAAAAAAAGGGATCACAGTTCTCAAAGGAGACCAAAACCCAGCAAGGCGAATTCCATTAGATGTTTTTCACGATATACCTTATAAAATTTTTAAATGAGCTATGCAAAAGGAAGAGGTTACTGGACAGAGACACCAAACAGTTACAGAGGAAAGTGGAGGATGGAGATGAATTTACTAAGAAACTGGGATGAAAAGAAACTTGCCTTTTAGGACACAGCGGATATTCCTTGGTTGGACGTGTCCCATCCACTTCCCTCTCGTCTGGTAAAAGCATCCTGGTGTGCACTTTCAGACAAGTCTTTCAAACGGTGTATACACTCTGCGATGGATGTGAGATTCAGGCCTGGCTAATAAGAACAGCACCTTCTTCTGGCCACAGTGACTATTTCCAAAATGGTGCCTGATCAATCAGAGCCAATGAGATGTAATCTGCAACTTTGGAAGGCCTATTGGGGAAAAAAAAAGGCAAGATCTTCTTCAGGTGAAGCTAGAACTTCAGCTGGCATGCATTTAGCTAATCTGGAGAGCCCCCAAACAAAATCAAACAGGGCTGGAGATAATCCAGGACATTGTTTAGACCCCTACACCCAGCTGTCCCTGAAGGCAGAGATACCTCTGGACTATTGTGTTGCATGAGCCAGTCTGATGCAGGGTTTTTGTTGTTATTGTCATTGTTACTACTGCTTTTGTCTAAAAGAATATTAAGTAGTCAATGGCCCAAGGAGAGGGGCAGCATGATTGTAGAGAAAATAGCCCAAGACTAAGAGTTGAGGTGTATGGGTTGTTGTTCCAGCCATGACAAAGGAATGTGAAATGGGTACATTACTCAGCTTTTCTGTGCTCCAGTCTCCTATTGTACAGCAGTGCTGGAATGGAATAATTTCATATGGTCCCAAGCCTCTAAAATTCTGGAAGGATTACATATGCCTAAGTTAACTCAATATACTTTTCTATTAATTAAGAGCAACTAATAAAGAAGCAAAAGGCTGCAAGTTCACTGCATATTCAAGCTACACTATTTTCCAAATCACAGCCTGGGCCAGTTTGTCTGGCAGGATGTGCCTCTAGAAATTGGGACTTCAAGCCATTCTATCCATACTCCAACCAAGTCTACACAGTTGCGATGATATCTTCATTCCCTCGGAAAAATAGGACTTTTGTAAATTATCATTAGGAGCAGGCAGCACTGCTGTGAATGAAATATTGAAAAATTACTTGATGGTTATGGAAAATGTTGGAAAGATACAGAAATAATTTGTTTATGGGTATTTTATTGGCCTTCCTTATTTCTTCTAGAACAGAGCCAGGACTAGGGGGAAGCAAGTGAGGCACCCAGGTGCCCCCTCAGGTACTGACACAGCCTGTGCATGACCCTGACAGTGAGTGTCTCCTTCAATTTTGCAGCCCAGTCCCTGCATCTGCCTTGCTGCCCTACTTACGCTTAGCTTTAGCATGACTGATCACCTTATTTATAGAGCCAGAGTGTCCTTATTCTTTGGCTTCTGTGGCTTTTTGGAATTGTAACAATCTAAGCTATTTCTCCCCAGTGTAAAGCCTGGTTTTGTTATGGACTGAATAGGAAGAATACCTGTGCTCACTCCTTTCTATTTAGGAACACAACTTTATAGGTTGAGATAGACGTGAAGAAAAAATATATTTACGATTGTACAGAGGATACCAGCTTTTACAAAATTCTTTTTTTTTTTTTTAGATCAAATATAGAAGATGAGATGTAAAACATATTTTAAGGATTTCAAAAAGATGAAGTTGACTGGCAGGGACTGGGTGTGTCTAATCTCCCATTTGGGATGGTTTTTCATTGGTTGTCGATGAATCTGGACTGCAGTTTTTGAAAATCTAACTATGCCAGGCTCTCTGAGACACCGGATACCTTGTTAATTTAGGACAAATCATTATCCCCTGAGGACAATTTTAGGCTTAAATGTTGCATTACAATGGTTAGGTATCCTTGTATGACAACCATTCTGGGCTAAAGGAAGGCTCTCAGAAAAAAATATGTAAGGATTTTTGTCAAATATATTGATGAATTTTCTTTTTTACACGACACATCTGACATCTTTGTAAGGGTCTGCTACACAGGCATTAGGTCTCTCATGTGGCGTGGCTGCCCTAAGAACCAACCAGTTACCAATAATGTGATAGATATTAATCACCATGGAGGTAGGGACTCCGGGATTTTAAATCATTTTAAATATTTCATTTAAAAAATCAGTAGAAAATGAAATCATAACTTACCATACAATCAATTGGGCTTTTCCTCTCTGCCAGGCTAAATTGAAAACAAACTCCATTTGAAACTTTTTTGGGGGGGGGTGTGGATAGAGGGAGGGGGGTTAGGAGGTATCTATAGGAAGCATGTGCCACTCTTGGCCTTAACTTTTGGCTCTCTGGAACTTTCCAGGAGGTTCTGAGGACTGCTCAAACCCAACAGGCAATGTTAAAATGAACACAGCTTTACCCTAAGCCCAAACATTCAGGTGAGATAAAGGTCTGGAATGACTTCAAATAAAGCAATTTAAGAAAACGTGACTGTGGATTGCCCGGGAACAAAAAGGTTCACCTGGGTTCTTGGTCCTCTGCACAAGTCACACCTCTGACACCCAAGGCAAAGGAATCAACCTCCTGTGGTCACAAAAGACTACAGCCATCAATGCCCTCTGCACTCAGACACTGATTTAACAGAATCACCTGGTATCTACTTCCTGCATAAAACCTAGACAGAGAAGGGCGCCTGGGTGGCTCAGCGGGTGAAGCATTGAACTCTTGATCTCAGCTCAGGTCTTGATCTCAGGGTTGTGAGTTTGGACCTGCACTGGGCTCCACCTTGGGTGTGGAGCCCACTTTAAAAAAACAAAACAGGGGCACCTGGATGGCTCAGACGGTTAAGCGTCTGCCTTCAGCTCAGGTCATGATCCCAGGGTCCTGGGATCCAGCCCCGCATCGGGCTCCCTGCTCAGTGGGAAGCCTGCTTCTCCCTCTCCCTCTGCCTGCTGCTTCCCCTGCTTGTACAGTCTCTCTCTGTGTCAAAAATAAATAAAATCTTAAAAATTAAAAAACCACAAAACAAACAAAAACTGAGGTGGAGAGCAGTATTTTGAGGAGCTCGCTGGAGGCTGCAGTAGTCAGCCCTCCCTCTTGCTTACTTTCCTGGCGGGGGGGGCGGTTCTTCTCATACCCACACACCTGTCTTCACGTCTGCAGAAGGGGCAATTCTCAAGGGGCCCATCCCATGTGGATTCGCCACTCCGCAGCATCCCGCTCAACCCTGAAAGTGAGAGCCCAAGAAGCGGCAGGTGCGTGGAGTGAGACAGCCAGGCAAATGTGAGGGTTGCTTTGGCGGCCTCACTTCCTCTCAGTCCCTTCTCCCAACTACTGATTTTTTCCCCTCTCCACCTACAGAAGTCTCTCAAAAGAAAAACACCTTACTATAAACTAAATCCTTTCACTTAATCCCCATGCGCT